AGGCTTTGAAGGCAGGTGCACGGGTCCAAGAGCAGGGCCTGGGGCCACCTCCCTTGCCTGCCCACTTTGGGCAGCTGCTTGCCTCCAGAAAGGGCTGAACATCCCAGTTCCCTTTGACCTTGGAAAATCTTCCCCTTTCTAATCACAAGTTACTTGATGACCAGTTGCTCTCAGTGCAATCCAGAGCAAACCCAGAAAAGCTGCAGCGAGGAGAGAGAAAAAAAGTTAGTTAACATACCCAGGACTTTTTCTGTTTGCTTGAGTGTGATAGGACTGGTATTTGGCTCTGAGATTATTGCTAATTTTATTTGAGAAGATAAAAGGCTGAAGAGAGCCTACTTCCACTGCAGTTTTTTAATTTCAGCAGATTGGATTGACTCCCTTGAAGCTGAATGTGCTCCTGAGCTGCCCAGCTCCATGATGTCCTTCACAGAGGCAGCTGGGAGCTTTCCAAGGGACTGCCTTTGGGATTTATGGAGTATGCTGCAACAAACAAGTGCTCCACCTCTGTTTCATGAGGAAATAAAGTGCTTTTTACCCACTGCTGCTTTTAATTGCAGTGGTGTTTCCAGTTGATGTAATAAATCTGGACTGAACAGGAACATGGCAAGGCAGCAGCAAATTGCAAGGGGCTGGAATAACCCCTGGAGCATCCTCCCAGCACTCAGGAACAGGGCTGCTCCTCCAGACCAGAAGCACTGACAGGATACCCAAACCCTTTCCAGGTGATGCCAAGAAAATGAAACCATCAGGGAATGCCAGACCTGCCACACTGAGCTTTTGAAGAGCTTGGCTGACACAGCTGATTTGGGATCCTTTGGGACCCAGCACTTCCAGAAGTTTGGCAACATGAAGGCAGACCAGGACTGGAGCTGGGACACATTCCTTGGGCTACCTTTGCAGCATCCATAGGGAAGTTTGCTGGGGATGCCCGTGAGTCTCTCTGCTGTCAGAGTGGGTGAACCACTTAAACCCAATTAAGTTCCTTAATGAATCTTATACCCTGATGAGGTTCCAATCACCTGAAGTAGGAGGCAGCATGGGGCAGAGGTGCTGTCAGCTAAACACTCTCCTTTGGGCTCCTGCTAATTGGATCCTGCATCTGGAAATGACTGTGTTCCTGTGGGATGAAATCTAGATGTTTACTTAGATACCACTTACAGATATTTTCCAACTAAACTTGTACCTGCAGAATGCTGGTGGTTTTCTGTTTAAAAACCTCTAAATAGGACCTGCCAGCTTATTAACTGCTACTCATTTATCCTGCTTGAGATGAGCCATATCTGTGTGTGCAAACAGATTTTAGACGTGTGTGTGCACAGCTTCATATAATTGGGGACACTTATTGAGAGGCCAGTGAGGGATCTGGAAAGCCAGAGTGGATCTTAAGATCAGTTTGAGAGAGGATGAATTGTGAGTTGTAGTAGAATTGCTGGCTCAGAATTTGCATCCTGCATTCCCTTAGTTTGGGGTGAGGAAAAATACGTTGTTGTGAAGAAAATCAGGACAGGTTGTGAGGCCCTTGTTACCAGCACACAGCTTTAACTGCTGCAGTGCCTGTCCTGAGAGAGCTGCTGAAGAGACCTGTAAAAAAAAAACACCACTTTAGACTTTTTAAAGTTTGTGACTTTACAAGTGTTTGTGACAAACTGTTAAGTGTAGGAACCTCTGAGCAGAAAACGACTACTGGAGGTTTTTACAAACACTTCTCCTATTTACATCTGTAAAGCAGGAGGTTTGACTAAAACAGAGTCTGAGCCAGGGGAAATGTCAGACCCCAGCTGTGACCCTGGAGGTGGCAAGGCTGGGCACCATGGGGATGTTCTGCTGGGGAATGGGTGTCATGAAGGGTACTGTGATTTTTCCTGGCTGCTCTGTACCTCTTCACCCCTTGTTGTTGCTGTGACCTCCCTCACTTCAGGGAGCTCAGGATTGTGTGTTTAATACAGATAAGTGCAGGGCTTTGCTCTCGGCAGAGGGAGATTAACCCAGAGGCTATGGGGGGGCCTGGAAGGGGCTGTGTCATGGCTGGGGACCCTGCTCAGCCCCGGGGTCATGGCTGGATATGTGCAGAGTGGCATGGAGGTGGTTTCCATATCATGTGTCCAACTCTAGGGAGAGCAGGTCAAATAATCAGATTTTACCAAGTGTTTTAAGAAGAGCTATAGACATTTTCAAAGTCTGGAGTAAGAGTGTTAATAATAGGTTATAACTGGTAATCAGTTGCAAGTATAGAGCTTGTAAACATGTTTCTGTGAAGTGTATAAATAGGTTAGAAATACATCCTGATAATCAGAACAGTTTATTACTTCAACCAGAGATTGCCTAGAAAAAGCATGACAAAGGGGATGGTGCCCTGAGCAGGGGTTGGTTTGCAGTGATAGGACAGGAGGAAATGGCCTCAAGTTGCACCAGGGGAGGTTTGGATTGGATCTTGGGAACAATTTCTTTCCCAAAGGGTTGTCAGGCCCTGACCCAGGCTGCCCAGGGCAGGGCTGGAGTCCTCATCCTTGGAGGGATTTCCAAGCCCTGTAGATGTGGTGCTGAGGGACATGGGGCAGGGGTGGCTTTGGCAGTGCTGGGATAACAGTTAGACTCGATGGTCTTCAACGTCTTTTCCAACCCAGACAATGCTGTGATTTGCTCATCAGGGCACTGTACCCATCCCCTCTACCTGCCTTCACAGGTGTGGGATGAGGTTCCCAGGTGCTGCTGTCTCCCCCTCCCTGCAGGATGGAGCTGCTGGGTTGCTTCATCCCCAGCTCTCCAGGATCCACCAGTGGGGTGACTGCTCCAGCAGTGTTCCCAGCCCCAGAGCCTGGCTGGGGGTCCCTGGGCCCAGGCACTGCCCTCTCCTTGGTGGCCTGCCCAGGGTTTCACCAGAGCCCCAGCAATGTGGTGTCACTGTTTCAAGGCAGCTGGGTAGCTTTGCTCCTGGGAGAACAACCTCCCTGCATTTTTCATAAGGTGAGCCAGGGTCTCCTTACCTGCCAGGGTGCAGAACCATCTGAGAGACAATATCGGATGGCATTACAGACCTAAGTGGGACAGCACAGAACAGCACCCCTCACAATGGGCTGCCGTGCCACCAACAAGGTGTCATTGAGAGAGAGACAAATCGGCAGCATCTGCTTTTCCTTTCAGTCACTTTTAAAGTGACTAATACCTTTCCAGCTCTTTGGAAGCAACAGGGTGTGTCTGTGGTTAAGGAACTGATAACACAGAAGGCTGAGTGAGCACCATGTGCCTTTCATTCAGTGTGTCAAGCTTTATTTTGCCTTTCCCCCCCCAACTTCCAAGTGAAAGATCTTGAAGAATCTTGTAAGGCTTGAGGCCACGTGCCTGTAAAGTCAGTAGGTATTACTTCAGCTGCTCTGGGTTGGTTTAAAGGCTTCTGGAGTTACTGGAAACCTTTTCCTCTTTGGGAAGTGCTAGAAAGCTTAATGACAACTGAGGTAACGTTGTAGAGCAGGTGCAGAACTAGGATTTGTTAACAGCTCAAAGGTTGAGTTTTGTCAGATTTCCTGAGAACATTTTGATGCTGTCTCTGCTGACTAGGTGGGCTAATATCACTGTCTGTGGAAAGTCAATTTTATAGGACCGCTTCCCAAAGGGAATGGAACAGCTTTCTCAAAAAGCACCTAAGAGGGTGCTAAAGGGTTGTTTTGGTTTTGTTTGTTTGTTTGTTTGTTTGTTTTTTAACGGTGGTACCTCTTGACAGACAGGTCCAGGGGGGTGGTGAGAGCTGACCTGGTCCAGATGGTCAAAGGGAACCAATGACAGCCCGGAGAGAAGGGGGAAGGTGGTGGTGATGGATCCAGCCTCTCCTGTGACATGGATTCCCATGGGAACACTGGACACAGCTTTGGAGCTTCTGGATGGACCTTGGGAAAAGATTTTTAAGCTCCAGAGGGCAGGAGGTTCTTCAGCCCTGGGGATCTGCAGGGCTTGGGTAGAAAAACCTCTCCAGAGCTGGGTACAGACCTGCTGTGTGTGAGAGGCTGGGCCAGAGACCTCCCTTATCCCTTTTCCCTGATTCCAGGAAACTCTCCTTCCAGCCCCCAGTCCCTTTCCCTGGCACACAGCACCCTCTGTGCACGGCATGGGCAGGTGTTTGCTCCTCTTTTCAGTGCCAAGGCTTTAAGATCCTGCTTGTCTTCCCAGGGCTTTCCCCCCTTTGAGTGCCCATCTCTCCCAACCGGGTCTGTTAGTGCTCCTAAAGTGGCTGCTGTGATTAGTGCTGTAATCTCCACATCAGCTTTTACATTTCCAGCCAGAGAGGGGGAATTAATTCAACACTGGCTTCTGCTCCCTTCAGACGTGTTTGCCAAGCTTTGTTTCCTCAGCGAGCAAGTGGATGGGGGGAAAGCCGTGATTTTGTTCTCATCCTAAGAGTGGCCAAATCCTTTGGAGAATGGAAGTTCCTGCTGGATGGGGCTACGTGAGGAGCTGGAGCGCTGCAGGTGGGAGGGGGAGGAGGAGGGATGGAGCAGCTTGCTGGGCTCCAGCACAGCTGGGGGGGTGAAGACACGGATGCTCCGAGGCTGCAATTTGCTGGGATGAGCCCACGTGGCTGCGGCTTTGCCAGCGAGGGGAGCAGGAGTGGGACTTCACCTGGGCTGGCTGGAGCCTGCCCATGTCCACAGCTTCAGCCAGCCTGACCTTTTATTCTGCTCCCATCCGTCTGCATCCCTTGTTTTGTACAAGCCGGGTTTAGGCGCTCTGCTTGGCACGTGGTTGCATGTTGGTTTGTAAGAGCCATCCTGCTCCTCCTGCACAGCGAAGGCCTCTGGCGAGCGGGAAGCTGCCGCGGATCTTTCCATGAGAGGGTTGCAGCTCTTCTTTCTGGTTAAGCTCTGCAGACCCATATCTAATTACAGCTTTGTGGCCGGCAGAAGGTTATAGAGGGAGGACAGCGTGCGCTGAAAATCAGTTTAAACTATTTGAGGGCAGTGACTTAGTGCCAGGGGTGCTGCCTTCCCACCGGGGCAGGAAGCAAAATGCTGGCGGCACGGACGGGGACCATGGGCAACAAAAACGCCGAGGAAGCCCTGAAGCTGAGGAAGCAGTCGGTGCTTTCCCTGGGGAGCAGGGACAGAGCCCGGAAGAGCTCGTCGGAGAGCGGGAAGGAGAGTCGGGCCCGAGGAGGGACCCTGCAGCCCGGAGCCCGGCGCCTGGCCCTGCTGCGGGAGCTGGAGATGAACTGGTACCTGCGGGGCTGCGAGCTCTCCCGGGAATACACCATCGCCTACACCACTGGGATGCCCCACAGGTACGTCCCCCCGCGCCCCGGGAGGGGGATGGCAGTGCTGGCAGCAGCAGGAACCAACAGGCACCATGGCATAATATAGTAGCAATGATCATCATCATTGAATCACGCAGTCACAAACTGGTTTGGGTTGGAAGGGACCTTAAAGTTCACCTAGTTACAACCCCCCTGCATGAGCAGGGACACCTCCCACTAGACAAGGTTCTTCAAGCCCCAGTAGTAGTAATAATAATAATAATAGAAAGCCTTTTGGCTTTACAAGTCCAGCTTTTCTCATTATTCAGGGGATGTGTGACGGATGTGCTTGCAGAGTTAAAAATTCTTCTAACTTAGTTCTTAGTTTCCATACCTCCTTCAGCACAAACTCTCTGTGGTTATTCAGCCTTACTTCTCATGAGCTCTTTTGTTCAAGTGAGTGTAAGCAAGTTTGAATTGAGTTGAAAAGTTGCTGATGTTGTGCAGGGGCTGGTGGGTGACAGGAGAAAGGGAAGGGAAGCGTTGCCAGAGGCTGCTGGCCCCTGTCACCATCACCCCCTTCCCTCCCTGGACATGGAGAAGCTGCTCGGGAGAGAAAACCTGCAGCTGCTGAATTTCTGATCCCATTGATCCTAAATGTCACAGCCTCCAGAATCTGATCTTCCTCCTTCTGAAAAAAAAAAAAATATATAAGGAGATCTTGGTATTAGAGGAAATTAGACGTGCAACTCGCTAATCTCCTGAGGAGAGTAAGACCCTTAATGAAATAGGAACTGGAATAGGAATTCCTGGGAGCTGCTGTCTTGGTCCTGCTGTCCCTGAGCAGCACTTTGGGGACTGGCAGACATGGGATGTGGGTGTTGTTCACCTCGAGGGACAGAGCTGCTGCCAAAGGGGGTTTCAGCGTTTTGCCCAACAATGCATGGGTAAGTGCATCAGAAACAGGGATTTCAGCTGGGAGGTCGGGTGAAATCCTCCCTAATCCCAGACAGAAGGGGGATGCCTGAAGTGCCTGGCACAAAACAAAGGGATCTTGAAGATGCACTGAGAGTAGAAATGAATAAAAATGTCATTAGACTAAAAGTTATAGACAGGATAGCTGAAAGGAAAGCAAGATAAAATTGTGAGACGTGGAACAACTAGTTACTAAGTGCAGAAATGTCTAGCAAGGGCAATGAAGGAAATCAAAGGGGTCAATAGACTAAGACTGAGCAATTTCCTGGGCACAGCAATTTCCTGGGCACACCAGCCATGGTCAGGCTCCTGTGGTGTTCAATGGAGCTATAAAAGCAAAGCAGTGGTGAATAACTTTTGAGAGTCAGTGAGTTTTGGGGGAACTAAGTTTCTAGTGATGCTGATCTCTACAAGCCCCTAAAACTCCAAACCACTGAAACTCTTGTGTCTAAGAAAACTCAGGAGAGTTCATGGAACTATTTCTTTGCTATTGCTTCACCTTGTGCTATAGATGGGGAGAGATATGGGTCTGGCAGGAGGTGAAACAAAAAGGGGGATTTATTTGCAGAGACACAGAGAGTCAATATGGAGAGAGGTCCATAGTCACAGCTGGATGAACAGGGCTGAGGTAAGAGTTGTTGCTGCAGACCAGGAGAAGTCCCAGCTACAGCCATGGGTGTCACACTGCTGGGAGGGATCCCACAACTCCTGGGCAGCAGAGATGGCTGCAGGTGTTGGGGCACAGTTTCCTCCACTGGGTGGGCTTGTGTTGTGAGAAGAATAGCCTGGAAGCATTGCCCACACCTGCCATGGATGGTTTGGCTCCATCAGCACCAAGAGAACATGATGTTCCATCTCTGGGTAGCAATCTGTCTGGGTACTGCAGGGCTGGAGGCAGCAGGGCAGGACCCATCCACTGCCCCAGCCTGGCAGATCAGGGTCCTTGGGGTTCAATAGTGACCTCAGGGCCCTGACACAACAGTCGGATGGAAAGGGTAACGGGGTAATCCAGATGTCCATGCCAAACCTCCCTGGGTGACATTGAATTATAATCTTTTAAAATATGTTCTGGGTTTGGGATCAGGTTTTGTTTATCTGCTTTGAAAGATTTAAAGATTACTTGAGTTCATGATACATCCATCCCTTGATTATTTAACTTATTTTTCTGGTGTGTTTGGCATTGACATGACACTCGGAAAATGGGTTGAGTTTCTGAAACAGAAGATCCTCAGAAACCTGCTTCAGTGATTGGTTCACTGTGGGCTGGTGTTGGCCAGAGAAAGTTGCTGTTGTCCTCCTGGGTGTCATCTTGACCAGCAGACCCTTGGGTGCTGGCTTTGGTGATGCCACAAAACCTGTGCTGCTTCTCCCATCACTCCTCAGGGATGAAGACCCTGAGAACCTGAGACTTCTTCTTTGCTGTTTAGCAGTGGTGGAATAACTTTTTGTTGGTTTGGCACATTTATTTTTAGTCCAGCCCAGCTGTGGGCCTGCTGCCCAGTACTGAGGGGCAGCTGGTTCTATGAGGCTGGAAGTTTTGTGGTGGCTGATGGCTCTCAGGGGCTTTGTTGGCTGCCCTTGCACAGCCCCTCTCCATCCTTGAGCAACACATGAAGTCTGATGAAAGCTGGTGCTTGTTCCCTGCCCAGCCCTGATGCCTATAGCTTGTTCCTTTCTCAAGTATTTCCCTTGTCTGTTTTTAGGTTATTTCTTTTCCTTCTTGGTGGTTGACTGCTCCATAGCCTTTGTTTTCTTATTAATTATTGAATCCCTGGGAGGCTGCAGATACGGGGGAGGTTTGCAGATGATGTGAGAGTTCACAGTGGAAAGGAGAAAACAAAAAACTCTAATGACTTGTATAAGAGAGGCTTGCAGCATTCATCTGTCCAGCCCAAGGCCCAGCATAAACTCTGTGAGAGTATTTGGTTCACGTTTATTGGCCTTGGATTGAATCCCAAACAAATATTTCTCATTATCTAAATATAAGACCTGGGAACTGGGGTCCGTGCTCTATTCCCACTGGCACTCCTTACCCCTCGGGGTACTTGACCATTATAGGTTTCAGCAGATGAGCAAGTCTGCTGATCTTGGCCAGAATCCACCCTGGGCATCAATTAAAACGAGCCAATTGCAATGACATAAGGAGTGTCTGGGGGGGGGGGAAATCCTCCTCCATCTTCCTGTGGTCCTCTCGGGCGACACAGCCCAGCTCGTACCATCTCGTGCAGGCGGCAGCGGGACGGCGCTGGGCTCTCCTCTCAGGAGGCAGCAGGGTGGGAGCTCCTGAGGACCCTACACCCCCACACCCCGTGGGGCACCCCCAGCCCTGACCATGCATTTGTACAAGGCGGCCTGTGCGGAGGTGCCACCTCCCCGGGCCAGCCTGCAGAAGCCCAGCGAAGCGGTGCTGAGGGGCAGGAAGCCCAGCTCGGTCCCCAGAGCCAGACCTCCCGCTGCAGGCTGGCCCAGCAGGCTGAGCCCCACCTCTGAGATCAAGCACCTGGACAGGTTCCTGCACCTGCACGGGCTGTCGCTGCAGGACACCGTCCGAGCCCACACAGGAATGAAGTACAGGTACCTCTGCATGTCCTGGTGGCCATCCCTTTGGCTGTAAGCAGCAAGGAGAAGCTTGGACCAGCCTGACAGCGCGGTCAGTTGGTGCCTGTAGAGCTGTGCCCAACCTCAGGCTCACAGGGTCCAAGTCATCATCTGCTTTAGCAGCTTTTTGTTACATTTTCTGAGCACGGCAAGGATGAGCATGACTTTGAGCAATAGTAAATGTATGTGACCTTGTTTCTTACAATTCTTGTTTTTCTCTTCTTGCGTTAGTTCTTTGTGTCAATCTGCTGTGCTGCCTCTTTCACATGGGGGTAGGAATAGTTACTTTTCCTACTGTTCCAGTGAAAACTCATTTGTGAGCACTGAAAGGATAATGGCTGGACAGCAGAAGAGAAATCATAGAATGGTTTGGGTCTTTAAAATTGCTTTAAAGATAATCTGGTCCCACTGCCCTGCCATGGGCAGGGACACCTCCCAGCAGCCCAGGCTGCTCCAAGCCCCATCCAACCTGCCCTTCAACACTGCCAGGGATGGGGCAGTCACAGCTTCCCTGGGCAACCTGGGCCAGGCTCTCACCACCCTCACAGTGAAGAATTTATCCCTAATTCCTAATTTAAATTTCCCCTCTTCCAGTTTTAAGCTGTTCCCCCATATCCTATCACTCCATGCCCTTGAAACAGCAGAAAGAGTAACAACACTTGTCGCAGTGTAGAGGGTTTTCCAGCAGGCACTTGCTGCTTTCTAGAGGAATTTTGCTCTTGTAGGTTTACAAGCACGGAGGCTATTCCATTCTTACTGGGAGCTGGAATGTTTGTTTTTCCAGCATGGCTTGTTCTGCCCCCCAGACATTTCTTGAGACACCCATAGGTTAAAGACAGCATCCGTGCTGTCTAAAGGCAGCACTACCAACCCTTTTTTTAAATTAAGAGCTATTTAATTACGTGTGAAAAGTAATGAACTGTTAACAGGAACCACTTACTAAACACTCATAAGCTGGTTTATTTATAGGATGATTAGTTTTCTTTCCTTTCATTGCTTTAGCAAATGCAGCTTAGTTCAGCCTATTACTGACTAGCTGGAAGTGCAGCCGTGCACGAGCTTGGTTCTGTTCTGCTGACAACAGTGCTTCTCTCAGACAAAACACCATTTCCCAAGCCAGTATGTGTGTTACTGTCCAGCAGGGTGTTTGTTCCACGGCTTCCTTCCACACCCACTCTGCTGGGGGCTGAGCCCCTCAAAACTGAACTGTGTGCACTGGGAGCTGGGACTGTAGGACCCCTCAATAATATTGTCAATAATATATAATATTAAAATATTGTCTTGGCAGTTTGAACTGAGTGAGAACTGGGAGTTTCTGGGGACCACTGAAGGCACCAACCAGATAAAGGCCTCCTGCAGAAGGGTTGTTGCTGAAAGGTTCCCCCATCCCTGAGCTGTACATACAAAAAGGCAAATACCATTTTAGAAAATGTGACATGCATGACAGTAAAATATTGGGGGTTTGTCTTCATTTC